ATTTAAGCTTTGTGAATATTTTTTGATGTTGAAAAGCTGTAGTGCGAATTGCAAATTATTTATATGTGGTGAATCATCTGGCGCTACTAAATGATTACAAAGTGAATTGAGGCAAGCTAAATAGCCTTGCTCTAGTTAGCCCGGTTTATTGTTCTAGTTAGTTTGCTCCTTTTCATTGGAGAGATTTTTTTCATTAAAAAATTATATTTCACTATTGCGGGATTCTTTCAACTAACATAAAAGGATCTCTATGAAACTTTTGTTTCGTAGTAAAAATCTGTGCTCAGATGAACCAAAAGGTAACAAGACATCTCGCTTTTAGAGATTTTTGACAGAAAAAGTATTATAATCTAATAATTTATAATAGATAATAAGAGATTATAAGCGGTTATAAGAGATTTTTGGAAAAAGTATAATCAATTATAATTATTTATAGCTTATTATGAAAACACGAGAAAAGGTATGATTAAAATGGATTATAAATATTTTCAGCATCAAAATTTGGCGCTTATAATTAATCCTAATTTTGATAAAAGTACAATTATAATTGTAATTTAATCGATTATTTTCTCTTTTTACTGAGTGCGGGGTGTCTTTTAGCAGACCAATACAATAAAGTGACGGATAATTGATTGACACACTCAAAAAGACGATCAGATCAGTCTGTGCGTCAGACAATCAGATCAGTCATGCTGCGTTTGAAGTTAGCTATCACACTTTATAATTGTTCTGAGTCTGCTAAAAACCCGATTGGCTAGGAAAACGGTCAGCTAAAATCCCTAGCACCATCAAGCAAGTGTTTCTCTATGACATAACCTTAAATTAATTAACATTGAAGTTCTTTGAAAACCCAGTCGAGAAAGAAGAGAACAAAAAAGGGAAGCTAGAGTGGAAGTATCTCAAAACGACACAAATATATCTGAAAATTTCTTTTTTTTTAAGAAAGTGGCTGGGTGGTATCTCAGTTAGATTCAAATTAGTCGAGTATTTGACCAATCAGAATGCATCAAAAATCAAACTCACAAATCCGAACTCAGGCAGCTTGCTTTGAGCTCAAACTTACAAAACATAAATTTTTTCTGTGCTCATTTTTCAAAAAGGATGAAAACTCCTGTGATCATTCTACGAACAGTTATTCAAAAACTTATCTGCAAGCGACCATTTACAAAACTCATAAATGGTTTCAGTTTGAACTTAAACATGCTGTTTGATTTAAATACGATACAGGATTTAACATTGCACAGCGCGTGAGGGAGGTTTTCAAAATCAACCTGATAAAAAAACTGTTCTTTTTGAAATTTTATCAATTTGGTTTTTTTTAATGATGTTTTCAAAAACATTTCATAATTTTAAAAAGGCAATCGGAACATGCAATGCCTCGTCTTGGTACGATCAGTCTTATTTTTAAGCCTAATTTTTTAGGCGGTAAGTGGGGATTCAATTAGGTAATTATTCGGTCAAAAGTCTTGATTTTAGCTAGAAACTGATATTATTTTACGCGTGACTGAGCATCATCTTTGATTTTTTCTGGTATCCATTTTACGACCATTGGGAATTTTACATGATGTTATTAGTGAAAATTACGAGCTTTCCCTGATGCACCTTTAATCGAACGAAAATTTTTATGCCCTCTAAAGATTCGGCCCATTGGTAAGTTGCCGTTTGAGGCCCAACTTCATTATGAGGCCAAACTGTGCACTTGATAAGTCTTTAATAAATTCAAAAGTGTAAGCGGATTCCATTTACAAAAAATCAGTGCATTCCGCGTTCAAATACCTCTAACTTAAAATTTGCCGGCACATTGATTTTGTTGCGGATTCCGCAACGAGCGAATAAAATTAGTTGTTCCGGATTCCGCAACGACCGGATATAGTTAGTTGTCCGGATTCCGCAAAAGTAAGCAGACTCCGCAAATGTAAGTGGAATCCGCTTACAATTTGCGGATTCCCCTTACAATTTGCGGATTCCACTTACAGATGCGGACTCTACACATTTTGTTGCAGATTCCGCAAAGTTGCCTGTTTTTAGATCAATTTTGATCAATACAGAGTTTTGGCTATTTTTCAGTGGAATCCAAAACAGTAGAGAAGATCAAAGAAAAATAGCATTGTTGTGGATTCCGCGACAAATCTAATTTTTGCCTGTAACGGAATCCGCTTACAATTGACAAAATGCACAGTTTGGCCTCATAATGTTTGTTTGGTTCCGAACTTATTCTATCGCAGTATTAAATTTCTATCACCGTAGTAAATCAAAGTAAAATAAGTTAGAATTGTTAATCCACGAAGGAAATGACTTAACTTCAATCTGTTAAGTTTTTTGCAGCGACCCAGTGTTGTGCCGATGAACATTTTTTGTTTGAAAGTTTTTGCCTAAAAAGTATGTGAACTGGCAAAAAATTTGAAAATAATTTCTAAGAACGAAAATTGATAGTCTGGCCAGGGTTTTAAGTCGCGGGCATATTCTAGAAAAACTGTTTCTCGGTCACAATGATCAAAAAGTTAGTCGCTAAATGAGTCTGGAAATGGCGTATGTTGGTCGCGTTGGTCGAAAATTTAGTCGCGGCCGTCAAAAAATTAGTCGCGGTGGTACAAAAAAGTAGCCGCGGCATGGTCGAAAATAAATCGCGGCGGTCGAAACGTTATTAGCTGCTTTGTCGAAAAATTAGTGCCGGTGTGGTCGAAAATTAGACGCGGCATAGTTGAAAAATTAGTCTCTGGTTTTCAGAGACCTGCACACACTAAATTGTGCGCCTCTCCAGTGCACAGTCTGGCCTCGTAAAATTTAAATTTTTTTCTAGGTTAAATAAAACAGTGTTTCAGCACTATAATTAATGATATGCTGCAATAAAATTAAAGTCTACTGCGGAAACAAAGTTTCAATTTATCGGTGCAACAAATGTTCAAAAATGCTTTGCTCAGTTAAAAAACAAACCAACGCCGCCTAGAAAGAGTCTTTAGAACTCAAACGTGGAACAAATGACATACGCTTAAGCTTTTTTGAGGTAATAGGTGGAAGCGCAGTAGTAATATTGAAAGTCAATTACTCAATCAGAAACTTCGTGAACGCTTGTTTGGAAATGTTTCTTTATTGTTCCAATTGTCGAAAAAAGTGAGGAACTTACATGCCCGGGGTGTTTTTTTTTGTTCAGACTAATTTTTGAAAAGTATGAACATCGATGCGGAAATGTGATTGCCAAGTGAGTATGCTTGCACTTGACTTAAGTGCTGCTTTGTTGCTGGAATATTACTTTGATGGTTTATTATCCGCACTCAGAATCAGAGATGTTCAACAATAATAGCAATTAATTTTTTGAGTTGTTTCCAAGGCAATCAATTATTTAATTGGGACTTTCCGTCAATCATTTGTGGCAATTAATTGCAATTAATGAGTTTTCTCAAAAAAACATGTTTTGAACAAAACAATTCTGTGTGTTGCTTTTTGAGGATGATTTGTAACAAATTTTCGTGTCTTTTTGTCCCATAGTCGGCAGTTGTACTTGAGGAAGAACTGACAATCCCAGTTGGCCGGCAAAAGTCGATGCCATTTGCACGCTGAAAGAATAAACAGGTTACATAAGCCTACAATACTGTTATAATACGTATTATAAATACTTGTTCTTATTGCCAATTAATTACTTGCTTTACCATCCATCAATTATTGGTTTTGAAAAAAATACCGCCGTCAATCAATTGCATCCCAGTAATTGCAATTTTTTTCCTCTTTCATTTTTGAACACCCCTGCCTCTTTCATTTTTGAACACCCCTGCTCAGAATCGTTCAAAATTGAATCGAGGCAAGCTTATTGGTTATACTAATTCCATGAACGACTCAAAATTTATCACTGATTTTATCAGCCTTAAGTTTGTAGTTAAGCAATATTTTATATACAAAAAAAACGATACGATCCTAAATAATGGGCAGTCGGAACATTAAGGACTTTGCCTTGATACGAGCAGTTAAGGTACTTTAATGTGTTCGGCTGAATAAATTTTGATGATATAATGGACCAAATTAGCAACCTCCCCAAAACCCTTGGAAACTGGGTGTATTAGCTGGGGGTCCTTAGTCAGAACTATCACCCAAACAACAATAGCAGACAAAATGTATAGTGATTGCCAAATTATTGGGGGAAATTAGTAACCTTGAGCAACCTAAGCGGTAAAAAACCTTGAAATTTAAAACGCTTTTCTCTCAAATTGGATTGTAATTCGATGAAAAAATGACGAGCCCAATATTGTTTTGAATTCTAACAGAACTCTCGTATTGAAATTTGTTTGGTGAAAATTCGGCTTTAAATTGCACTTCTAAAATGAATTACTTTTGGCTCTATTTTTAATCAATCAAAAATTAAGCTAAAACTACTGGTTCAACAACTAACAAAGCTCATAAGAGCCTTCTTTTTGAGAATTTTAGAAAAAAAAACAAATTCCTTCTTATTATATGAAATGAATAATTATTGTTTGATAGCCAAAAAATGCAACTTTTATACCATTTAAGACAAAAATTTATTTTTAAAATAGTTCTTAAATTTTTCAAATTTTTTTGGAGCTTTTTTCTTTTTAAAATTTGGATGGACTACGTAAGAGGCTGATACTGACGCAGTTATGTAAGTAGTGGACTTGGTGTTTTCCTCATATTTTTTTTCAGAATAAAAACTCAAAAAAAAAAATCCGTTTGTGAGGTAAAATTAAATTCCCAATTTTTTTCAACGACGTTCGCCGTAAAAAATGACTGATGAAATTCTATGCAAGCTTTGTGGCCGCTAATTTTCACGTAACGTCAACCCAATTGGAGATTAACGAGTTTTAAGTGTCAAGTTTTATACTTTTCGTCCGGATAATTTAAATCAGCACTGTGCAATGAGGCTAAATTAGCGAATATTTATTCATTAGCCAAGATGAAATTCCATTGAGATGAGTCGAATTATTTCTATAGTTGTTCCGAACTTCTTAGAAAAACAAACAGTCAAAGATATTTATTTTGAGATGATTGAAAAATATTTTGAAATATCTAAATTAAAGATTTTAATCGAAATAAAATTCTTGTAGATTCTGTGTTTGATTATTTGTGAGTTTGTAGTTCCAAATTTGATTCTTCATGAATTCCTCAGAAGCGTAAACGTTGCATGATTTTTTCATTTCCTCTGCGAAAAAATTAGAAATAAATTGCATAACTTTAACAGATTCAATTGAATGATCGATTTTATCGCTGGGTGGAAGACGAAACTGATTTGCTTCTACATGCCATTGAATACCATATATGGGCATATTTTTGTGCTCTATCGTGGACAAAAACTCTTGCCCGTTAATGTCCATATTTGTCGAAAGGATATTAAACGCATCTTTGAGTAGCTTCGATTCTTCGTAGGTTCCAACAAGTGTGGAATTTACGTGAAAATTAGCTGTACTGTTTTTGTTTTGAAGATGTTCATACATCCAAATTGGCATTTCTGAAAATAATGCAGATGATTTTGCCGTTTTAGTGAAATTTAAAATCATCGACACGTCTTGGGTTCCGTTAGTCGTTGTAAGAGGGTCTATTCCGTGGTTGAAAATACGAAGAAGTGCTTGAAATCCGAGACAAATTCCGAAGATTGGGAACATTTTTCCTGTTTCATGGAAATCCTTCTGCGACCATTTGACAAATAAGTTTGCAGTGTCATAGAAACTGTCGCCAACTCCTAGAATTAAGCAAAATGAAGAATGTGTAAATGGGTTGAAATTAACAGCCCACCGACATAACGCTTTCGGGAATTAAATGTTAACAAATTGAATGCAAATTAAATGTTATGATGAAAAATCATAACTTGGTCTACTTGGTATAACAGTTATTTCAATTCGATCTGCATCTTTTTCGATTATACAGCGCAAAAATGATCTTTTTAAAAAAAAATTGCTCAAACTGAGATTCAAACACAAACCCAGGTTCACTTTGGTTCGATTAGCTCATCTAGGAAAATGACCCCAAATCGCGAATGCAATCCGTTTTACGAAAAACTGGATATTTGTCAATTTTGAAAATAATATCCGCTTATAAAGTTCCATCAGTTAATTCCATCTCTGTTAATTTTCTCGCGTCTAGTTTTTTGAATTTTGCATCTACAACTCTATTCTAAATCTATTATAAAAAAAAACAAAGTTCTAATTAACAAATCACAATACTATGCCAAAGCTATAAATGTTAAGGTTAATCTCAGATAAAGTTATTGGGCATAGGACTCAGTAACTTCCAATTAAGAAGCACCGCAAACCCACGATTGCAATATCCAGATTGATGAAGACTAAGGCAAAAAGAATAGAAGTAGAAGCATCCATGGACTCTTGACTTGCACCAAATCATCAAGCTAAATGAAAAAACATGACAAATAGACGGTATATGGGAAACTATTCATTAAAGGCAGTTACACCAGAAAGTGTTTTTGATAAATTACGGAAAAAATAAGCCTCATTGTGTGTATTTTGATAGCATTAAAGTTTGTGGTTAAATTTTTGTTGTTCTAACCCGGAGACCTAATCCGAAGGTTACTTATCTAAGTTGACAAGACCGTATATATGTTCAGCACCAATTAAGCGATGACTTATTTGCAAGCGCTCACCTTGAAAACAACAGCGCTCGCGCGAGTTGAACCAGCAATCACATGATTGCTGGACAGCATAGCATCACTAACAGATCGCCACAATGCAACGACCCCACAATACCGGAGCGCCAAATCAAAATCGAGCTTGAACAAATTGTGGTCTTTACAATATTGAGGGTTTGACGAATGCATAGGCAGTAATGCATGCTGCTATGCCTCCGATTTGTATTATCAAAACGAAGCCAACAGGCTGTTGGAAAAGAGTCAATGAACGCAAGGAAACCAAAAAAACTGACTATTTTTTTTTACATAAATTACAGCTTTCGAGTTTAAGAGAAGCCAATAAATGCAAGTATATTCTTCGAATATATATCCTTAAAACTCTTTGAATATAAAAAAACAATTTATGATGGGCACTTTCTGATAACCCAATTTGAGAACACTGGATCAAAACATGAAAGTTTTGTTTCCTTGCTGGGAAATATAAATTGAAATTTATGCTCAAAACTAGAATTCGATCACATTTTCCGGACTTTTACAACTGCTGTTAGCCTTCCTTGCACGAAATCTGCCTTCATTTTAGCAGGAAAGTGAACTAAACTAAAGCTTGAACAAATTCTGAGACTTTTGCTGAAAAAAACTTAAAAACATATTAAGACCTATACAAGGGTCTTCACTTCGTTCATTGACTCTTAAAACATAATGACTGATTATGAAGAGGTCACATTATCAGCCTCTCCCTCAAAAGGTTGGCGCTGGGGGGCCGACATCAAATTGTGGCTTTTACTTGTGGGGAGGGCGAAAAAATTTGTAAAAATTTTTAGACCGGGCACAACAAAAATTCTCCGTAGAGAGGTAAATACCTGGTATATTGGTCCTTTCTCTCGGAGAAAATTTTTTAAGATTCAAAAGTGTTTAAATCATTATGTTTGCCATGAATGAAGACACGCTATGGAAAAAATGGGTGAGGAATGGCTTTAAGGTTTTTTTCTACTGTTTGTAGAATATTGTGTTCACACTTCTATTAATGAAAACTCAACTTTGTTTCAGAAGTACAATAAATGGCAAAACAACACGAAACAAGTAGTTCAAAAACAACTATTTAAAATAAATAGATAATATAACTTCGCGTAAATAAAGCAAATAGCAAGAAACTCAGCGATGCAAAAATTTTGTGCCATATTTTTGGATGTTTTTCGCAAGTGAAAATAGCAAAATTACAATTCCTTTACTACTTCAGCAATTGAGTTATTCAACAAAAACCTATTTTGAAGCTGACCTAGTGGAACCTGATCTAAACTACATTTTATGATTGGATAAATTAGATATTTTACCAATGTAAAGTATTTAATATTAACCAATCATGATCCATCTAACTAACAACCCACTTATTTGTAAGTGCTGAAGTTACTTGTAATTTCAGCACCAGAGAGATTTGAATTTAACTTAGAAATTAGTTGGACTCTCCCGAGTACTTCAGCAGCCGCAATAAACCAGTATACCCTAGATCTATTGAGCCTAGCAGAGACTAGTTAAACAACCTGAGACTAGATAGTATAAGAGTAAGATTAGGATCGGTATTAGACTAAGAAGTTGCACGAATCTATCCGGCCGAAAATAAGATAGCGTGACGAGCAGACGGTGTACCCTATCCGAAATTACTCTATGAGTTAACCAACTCGGTCCTAACTCATCTGGTGCGACCATAAGTCTCGAACAAGACCTTAATAGCTTAGAATTAACCAAAATAGATTAGAAATTAGACAAAAACATTTACAAAATGTTATACGACAATAATTTAATCGAAATGTCTCTACGACTCAATAGATCAGAGCCAATATTCCGAACCATAACAGAACTACCCGGAATTGGAAGAAGACCTCGAACCAGAGACGACATACGACAAAGTAGAAACTTGCCATATAGCTATATGATAGTTAGGCAAAAACCAGAACAAACTTTTATATTTAGAATACTACTGGCAATGAATTTAGATTTTCATTTGCAAACATAAAACCTTGAAGTTAATCTTCAAAATCATTTCAGGCGCTAAACAAAATTATTAATATACAATAACGATTGATAAAAAGATCTAAGATCGTTTTCCTAAAACTCTGCAGTAATATACAAAACATGTTTGAAAAATATTTATTGAAAAATAAAAAATAAAAATTAGTAGCATGACAATAAATGGTTAGTAATCATAAATCATCCTGTTGTTCCAGCTCCATCACCTAAAACATAACAGCAATCATAAACCTACTAATATCATCAAAACACTAAATCTTTCCTTTACACACATTTAAAAATTTATTAAAACTTAAATTCACTTAATTTTAAAACCAGATCATCAAGGCTTATCCTTGGATCTTAAATCATTTTCTACTTAATTAAATTTCAAATTTGATCATCAAGGCTTATCCTTGGATCAAACAGAACAACTTTGTTCTCCCCCACCCACTTAATTAGTGTCTAACGACCTCAAACGTCGATTCACTACCCAACCCTTTCTAAAGACCTAAGACTAATAGAAATTTTTAAACAAAACTAATCATTCAAATTAGGATAAACAGTGAAGAACTTCGGTTATTCATCCTTCACTTGACCCCCCCTCTTAACAGACCCAGGATAAATCTTAGACTTAGTAAGTTTAAAATAGTATCTAACGAACTACTCGCGTTCTAATTATACCTGAACCTTGTGGATCGATTTACTATTCTCCAACCCTTGAACACAATCACTACCCCTAAGTAAGATTAAGTAAGTTAACACCTTAACTTATACTAGCCACGAGAAAGTAAAAAATCATTCTTCGGAATCGATATACTTTTCTCTCCAACCCTGAACAAACAGACCCAGGTTAAGCTAACCAAAAAATCGTAAGAACTAACAGTTTAAGAAAATAGAAACCATTTAACAACCTTTTGCATCCGTCATCCTAAACCTTATGTCATTTAAAAACCTAGGAAATAAACAAACAATCGTTTTACACAATGGTGAAATAGATAACAAAAAATACGACCTTGTAATCACGCCTCATACACAAACAGTTGGATACATTCGAACAAAACGACAAACACTAAAAAGAAAAATAATAACGAAACAAAGACAAATAACACGAAAAAGATTTTCAAAAAATCGAAACGCATTTTCAGAATCAGAAACCAACAGTTTAGACGAACTTTACAAACTAAAAGAATCAATAGATAAAAATTGCCCACTTCACGATCAATTATATTTTTCTGACTCAGAAACAACTTCAAATTCATCAAAAAGAGGAAAAAGAAGAATAAAAAAGCAGTATAAACACAAACCAGTACATTTATACAATTGGAATCAACCAATTCGACACATTAATAATTACATATTAACAGTCATCGAACGAAAAAATGAGCTCAACGCACACCCCAGGTGAAGAAAGTCCAGATGATGATGAAATCTTTCCTTTTATAGTAGATGCAACCACTGATAGAGGACAGCATATATTTTGCAAAAATTTACTATTAAATTTATTTGAACCCGGAATCAGTCCATGTAAAACAGAGTTCCCAGATGTAAAAATCAAAAGACAAATCATAGACCACTACTTAAAAGATATATGCAACATAACACAACAGTATGGAATCTACTCCATAGAATTCAGCTCACCAAACCATAATAATAGAAAATATACAATTCAAACAGACGATCTTGATTTAGAATTTTCAAAAGTTTTTTCAGAATATATAAAAAGCATCCAATATCATAACTCACAAAGAGCAAACTCCATATTCACCAATGAAGTTTTCGCAATAATATATAGTTATATTTCGATATTAGAAAACGAAATCCCAATAACAAATGTCTCACCGACAGAAACATCTAAACATTTAAGAGTACGACATGAAATCACACTACTCTCTAGTTATTTAAACATCATTAAAGAAAAATTCACGAAAGACGACGTTTCACAACATACAAAACACGATCTACAAAAAATTTTGGCATGGTTCATAATAGATTATTTCACACACAATATTGATTTAATTGCACAAGCAAGAAAAAATTTTAGACCCCAAAACTCGAACGATGATACCGCTATCACAGAACAATCAGATTATGTT